AATACCTCTATCTCAACTTCACTTTGGCTACAGTCAGGCTACACAGTGGCTTGGGAACCTCTCATCTAGCCATAGAAGGCAAATGTAGGACTAGAGAATCCAAACAGAGCTGCATGTGTGCATGCACACACACAAGGTGGGGAAGAGGGAATCTTCTCTTCATATTTAGTTGTTTCTGCCCTCCTGGGTATGTTGGAAAGAACAGAGCTCAATGTATCAGTATATATTCAATTCAGTATCATGTATATTACATATCTAAACCAGTTGCTACTCTAGGTCTATAAACGCAAACATAAATGGCATGGTTTCTTCCTCTGTTCACGGAAAATTTGACTCTGTCATACTATTTATTACAACTGTATGAAAAAAATACAATTTTTGAAGGTAGTCTGTTCAGTTTAAGTTTCTCTGGGATTTGAGGATATTTGTTGGAACCTTTCTAGAATGTAGACATTTATTCTGGAACTTTGCTAAATGCCTTTTCATCCCATTTTGGTAAGTTGGTTAAAAAAATATAAATTCTTGGACCCACATGATTCTTGTTTAGGAATCAATACAATTGCTTTAATTTTCTTGTAAACACTTTATGGAGGCAGATAAAGTATGATCTATAAACTGAGTACACCTGAGCATCAGGGTAAAATTTCAAAACTGAGGCATTCCCGAATTTACTTTTAGTGTGCAAAGTAAATGTGCTTCCGAATTAAAAAGAAACAACCATAGAGGAAGTCAAATATTTTCTATTCAGTAAGACATTGATACTGAAAAGAGAAGAGGTGATAATAATCCATTAAGGAATTTCTTTAAAATCTCTACATACATTACTGCTCATACTTTTATTTTTCATCCTTGCCACAGTTATAGATTGTTTTATATACATACTTCAGTGGGAAGTTTGTTTCAAGTTTCAGTAACTGGCTAAATAATCAGTGCCTTATATACAAAAGAAAAGTTTCCTATGGAGGAATTGTTTTTCCTTTTTGAATGACTTTTTTGTTGGTGGTGGTGATATACTTCAAAGTGCTCCAAGAGATATGTGTGGGTATTTTCTCCATCAACGCCAAATTTATGTCCTTGTTATGGCCTTAACGAATAATGCTAATACATTGTAATAATAAAAAGTAAAAAAAAAAACAAAACAAAAAACCAAGACCTAGTTTAAGACCTACAGTCATCATTCAACCATTTCTTTTTGTGCCAGTAGGACTAACAATGGAGTTTATAATTCATGATAAGGATAATAACTAATAATGTTATCTTTATAAAAAATGATGATGGAAGAATGTTAAACATTTTATTCCTGTAAAGAAGACAATGAAGGGGCGCCTGGCTGGCTCAGTCAGTGGAGCATAAGACTCTTGATCTCAGGGTTGTAAGTTTGAGCCCCACGTTGGGTGTAGAGATTCCTTAAAAATAAAATGTTAAAAAAAGAAGACAATGAAAATAAGAAGTGAGTTAATGTAAGAGGTTAGTTAAGAATGGTTATTTCAGGGGCGTCTGGGTGGCTCAGTTGGTTAAGTGTCTGACTCTGGCTCAGGCCATGATCTCATAGTTCGTGAGTCCAAGCGCTGGAACCTGCTTCAGATTCTGTATCTCCCTTTCTCTGCCCCTCACCTGCTTGTGCTCTCTCTCCCTCAAAGAATAAATAAATATTTTTCAAAAAATTTTTAAAAAGAATGCCTACTTCGCTTTTATTTTTCTTGAGCCTTAAAAATATCTAAACCATAAGGAAGAGAGAGGGAGAGAGAGAAAGGGAGAGGGAGAAGGAAAGAGAAGGAAGGGAGAGGGAGAGACCAGCTATGATGGAACATGAGCATTGGAATAGTGGAAAGAGTAGGGACTTTGGAATTAGAAGGCATGGCACTTCATTCTTGGGCACAGAGATGTTTGGGGAGGATGTTTATGGTCTCTGAATATCAATTTTCCTAGCTGTAAGATAGAAAAATATAAGACAGTGTGACAAAAGCCTTTGTAAACCATCAAACACTATACAAATGGCAGTTACCATTCTTCAGACTTGCAGAGAGAATGTAAAAACCTTTGTGCTAATAGAAGGGAGCCAGACCTCTGCGACATCACTGAGCCACATCACCCAGATGCAGATGAACAACCAGGCCACTCTGGAGGAAAGTCACACCGAAGCTGCTAAAACACATGTGTCACACAGGAAATGCCCCAGGGAGAGCAAGCTATGTCTGTTTGGGAGGCTTTCTTAGGTGATGATTGAGCAGCTATTGATGGCATACTTTCTAGTGTTGTTCATAATGAGAAAAAAAATCTATGTGAGGGCTTTGGACGATGGGATTCAAAGGCAGGGAACTAGAAGCAAGAGTGTCTATTCCTTCTGCAAAGAGTCTCTCAAGAGAATGTTGTGGTAATAAATTGAGAAATAATATAAAATGCTCATATGGTACAGAGACCACTCCTTGTCTCCTACCATCAGAGCCATGATGCTCACACTACTGCCGTGCTTTGAAAAGAAGGGATGAGAGATGATGCACCATTCTGCTCAATTGCAGCTTTCCCCTCTGCAAATTGCACTTTTTCCACTCTTTCCCCTCCAAAATACTGATTTCAAATGTCACCTGTCCTCATAGTCTAGACATCTATTTATAATTATACTTAGAGAAGTTCTTTAAACAGCTGAAATCATCTTTCTCCGCTTATTTTCTATCTCTCCTTCCCACTAGAATATAATCACCAAGAAGCTACAGACTTACCTTGACGGTGTATCTTCATTGCCTAGAGCAGTGTCTAACACATTATAGGCCTTAAAAAAAATGATGAGTGAATAAATGAAGAAAGTGACAATATTTGGTTACAGTGCAGGTACAGACAATTACCCAAAAGGAAATGATATGAGCTTATGATTGTCAACATGCATGGATGGATTCAGATGATATAAAACATTTGTTTTCCCCAAAATTCCACAGTGATGCCTCTCTGTGGGTAGCAACTAATCTCGTTGAAGTCTAGTCTCCATCCTTATTTTACCCCCTTTTCCTCCTCCTCCCATCTTTCCTCCTGTCTTTGCATCCTTTTGCCCTTTCCCTCACCACCAAATCAATAGTCTCGTTTGTAGCCTGGAGATGAGTTCCAGCTTCCATCAGGGACAGACAATGGTTGGTCCTAATTTCCCAACTAGAAGTAGGCTCAAGTCTTTCAGCCTTAAGGTAGAAATAAATAAAGAAAGAATTTTTCTTGCTCTGTTCATTGCACTTCCATAGCAATTTCCATAGGATATTATGCTAACAGTGTCTGTTACTTTTCTTTAAATCACAGATGAGGAAGATAAGGGGTAAAAGGAAAGGGCTGGAAGCTGGAGGGGTATAGAAAAGCCCACTGTGTGACATGAGCTGATCTCATAGGGATGGCAACTCAAGAACTCTTGAGTCCTTTACAACGGTGCTTTTTAAATTTTAATGTGCATAGTAATCACCTGAATATTGTTTGTAGATTTTGATTCAGGAGTTCCAGTGTGGGGCTCAAGAGTCTGCACTTGTTAAAAGCAGCCAGGTGGTCCATGGGTCCATGTTTTAGTCAATCTCTAAAGAGAAATCTTTTCAGTTTGTACCCCTGCTTTAAAACAGCATTATGTAAGAGAAAGAGCAAGATGAATTTGGAATCAGCTAGAACTGGATTTGAAATCTGGCTCCACTATTCCTTAAAAGATGTTGGGCGAGGATTATTTTTAAAGTATCACTTCTCTAAGCCTCAGTATCATCTGGAATAAGGGGATGATAATATCTGTCTTACAGGATTGCTATAAAAATTAAATGAATTTCGGTGTTGTTGTTTTTTTTTTTCAGAGAGCACTTTAGCATGGGGTCTAGACTGCTCTCTTTCTGCCCATTTTGAATTCTTCAAAATGGCATATGAGGACTGTCACAATTCAGCCCCAAGTTCTATTTCAAACTTTATCTGCTTCTTGATAAGTGAAACCATCTATACCCATACAGCTTGCTCTCCACATTAACATAATTTTACTTTTCAACTTCTGCCTTACCTAACTTTATATTCCAGGACATGTTTGCCCAGAAACATTAAGTTGAAACTATTATCTATTTCAGACCCTCTTGAATTTATTTACCGAAATACTCAATTTGTTCTAATTAGATAAATACCCTCTTGTTAGAAGAATAGATCACTCAACGGGGCTCGTCAAATTATGTTTAATCTTCAAAGATTCTCTTCAAAGTCCCCACCTTGTTTTATCCATTAATCTTATGCTGTTATATTATGAACATTGTTCAGTACCAATCAGACTCCCTCATTGAAAGATATGCGTTATATTAGATCCCCAAACCTTACAAATGCGGTTTTGCTCCCTGCTTCCAAGATGCTACTACGATTCTGTCACAGTCGTAAATGGCTCCTCTTACCGCAGTAAGCAAGAAACTTGTCTTTGCTTGATCAATCAAACAGGTTATTTCACTGTTCTTTTCAGAAAGTTGGAAGTCAATAATCTCTTGTACGAAAACGATTATCCACACAAATGTAATTAATTACTTGTTATTTCTTGAAGGTATTATACTTTCTCATAGTTTGTGCTTTTGTACTATTGATTCCTTTTTCCTAGAATATCATCACCTTGTCTTTTATGTAAGTTTCAAGGCTCCAGCTAAATGCTGCTTCCTCTTTATCGAAAAGCTAACTAACAACATGGATCTGTCATGCTTCTGTGCTTCTATAGCATTTAGAATGCCTTTTCTATAATATCCTATTGTTTTCTGATTGCTTGGGAACACACTTTTCTTTCCTAAAGACATTGTGCTCCCTGAATGTAGGTATTGTGCCATTTCCACCTCTATCTGCACCTTGAATAATGAAAGAAGATTACTAATTGATCAATAGATGTTTGTTGAATGTCGAATGAAAAACATTTAGCTGAACTATTAGAGAAAGAAATGAGATAAAGAAATTTTTGTCAAAAGGAACTTGGGTTTATTTTTATAAGGATATCTTGTATATCCTCAATTGCACTTTCCTTTTTGTTCTAGATAACCCTCTGATGGCTCTGAGGAATGTTAACCTCTGGAGTAGCAGCTCTCAACAAAACATGGTCCTGCTGATGTTTCATGCCTCTGTCGAAAAGGTAATTTCTCATTTCCCTTTCATCTAGTAATTACAGATGATAATTAAGAGCTTGCAGTTGGTCCAGCCCTTCTATGAGCATAGCAGATGGTTTATTTCCTGTCCTCAGGAAAATTTTATCTCCTCTGGCATCAAGTCTGGATATAAATGTTGTCAGTTTTATGATATGAAATAGGGGGTCAACATTTTGTTTAGCCCAATAAGACCTGGAAGAAAGACTAAGTTTTATAGTGTTGTGAAATCCATGATGGCTGATAACAACGTATCCTGACATCGTTATGTGTCTGTTAAAGTAGTATTACTCGTGTGCATAGCAATGCTTTATTGGATAGCCACAATTAATCCAACATGTGGGCTATTAAAGGTAGCAATAGAATTTTCAAAATTTCCATCTACACGAAAATCTAGAAGTTCCAAAACAGTGTCAGAGTTCATGGCTAACAGGTTTTGACAAGAGCTAAGCTAACGTTTGCATTAGTGAAGCATTTCCTAGGTAACAGCATATTGAGACATCAGCATTGTTGAGGGAAAAAGTAAAATCTAAAGAGTATTTATGACAAACAGTTAGCCTGGGTTGGTATTCCACACTAGCAGTAGGCTGCTTTTGAAAAGAATGCAAAACTATGTATATTGTATCTCAGTTCCTGATCACTTTGGGTCGGTTGGAGGCATAATTACTTAATAAAAAAAATTCAGTGTTCAGTAGTGAGCCTCAGCCATGTTCCTACCTTTGACTGTCATCTAAGAATGAAAGAAATAACCTTTCTTATTATATAAGCTAGTTAGCCCACTGAGCACTCTGGGTAATATTTGTTTCATATCATAATGATAATAAACATTGTAACTTATTTGTGTTGAGTCCCAATGATTCTGCTTTCTGTGTGGCTTGTGTTAATCATATTTTCAGGAATGTGGGTAGTAATCATAATGGTTTATTATAAATATATTACAATGTTGCCTTTAACATTCATGACCTGTGTGATCCTTGAACAATTCTGGGAGGTAGGAATGTACCCGTTTTACAGAGGAGATGGAGAGTCAGCCAGAAGAAATGACTTTCCATAGGTCACATGGTTGGTGAATGGAGGAGCTAGTGCCAGAACTCCGAGCTCCTGTCTTGCAGAAACGGTGTCCTCTGTCCTACAATACACAGATCCCTGTTAATGTATTTTAAAATAATTACAGAAGAGATGTTACAGACCCTTCACACAGAATCTGATCAATGGTTATTTTGAGGAGAGTGCACTAATATAACATTAGTTTTAATTGTGTTCTCCATTTGAGAACAGTAATCATGAAAAGAAATGAAAAGATTGAGTTCAGGATTGATTTTCTTGTGTTTGCAGCAACGATTGCAGCTTCAAGAATTCTGGAGACAGGCTTTTTTCAGAGATTGTTTTGACTTCTCTGTGTCAGAGTATTAAAGACAATCTCAGCGTTCAGTGCAATATTAATTATACGGGGTTTGAACTCAAACCTTCTCTATGGATGTGCCTGCACATTACAAACAGAGTGTCAGGACAAATAAATACATACTCATGTGTAGCATAATACAAATAATTAATGATACAGATTAACAGTTTCTAAGCGTTAGATTGTGCCAGCTCTTACGTGGATACTTGTTTGACATGTAGTTTTCGGTTTCTATTTACAATACTACATCGTATAATGGGTGTGGAAACAGGCTCAGTGGAGTAAGGAAGTTGTCCAAATTCACACAGGGGTTGGGTGACTGAGTTAGGATTTGAACCCAGGCCTGTCTGATTTCAGAGCCCCTTATGCTCTAAGGCACTGCTTTTCTTTTATCACATCGTGGAGCCTCAGAAATAGGGAGGGACAGATGGAGGACTTCTGATGGAAGGAAGGGAGATGAATGAGTGGGGAGAACAAAACGTTGTGGGAAGGGGCGCCTGGGTGGCTCCGTTGGTTGAGCGCCCGACACCAGCTTAGGTCATGATCTCACAGTTTCTGAGTTTGAGCCCCACATCGGGCTTGCTGCTCTCTGTGCAGAGCTCGCTTCAGATCTTCTGTTCCCCTCTCTCTCTGTGTCCCTCTCCTGCTCCTTCTTATGCTCTTACTCTCAAAAATAAATAAAACGTTAAAAAAAACAACTTTGTGGGAAAAGAGAGAGGCTGTAGTATGTGCGAACTACATGAGAACAGAAATCAAGAAGATATGGCATCTGGTCCAGACTCTGGTATCAACTAGCATGACTTTGGACATGTCACATACCTATTCTGTCGTTTAATTTCCTTGTTCATAAAATATGGAATTGGGCTTAATTAACAGTTTCCTAGACAGGTTCTGTGAGTTCCAGAGATTCAAAGAGTGACATAGTTTCTAGGAGAGCCGTAAAACAAACAAACACAAAATGCAGCTCACTCCTATATAAAGGAGTAGACAGGGGCCCCTGAGTGGCTCAGTCAGTTAAGCATCCAACTCTTGATTTCAGCTCAGGTCATGAGCTCACAGTTTGTGGGTTTGAGCTCTGTGCTGGGCTCCATGCCCAGTGTGGGATTCTCTCTCTCCCTCTGCCTCTGCCTACCCCTGCGCCCCACCGAAAGAATATCTTTTGATTCAGAAAGTCTATTTTAAAATTGTCCAAACAAATTAATCAGAGCTGCACATAATTTATATGAAGATATTCAGTATAGTAGCAAGATAGTTAACCCAACACAAGTGTCCAACAGTGGAATATTGCATATGTTATGTATATCCATGCAATAGACTATGTATACATTAAAAATAGCATTTGTGAAACATACTTAATGCATGAAAGAGGTTCCTTATTTATTGTTAAATAAAACTGCAGGTTACAAAGCTATGTAAGTCTTATGTTGTGTATATTTAGAAAGCTCTTCTCCCACATATCTCTATGGCTGGGTTCCTTCCTTTAAGTTTTTGCTGAAATAGCATCATAATCATACAATATATCTTCCCTACCTCATGTCATCATGGTTTCTCTCTCTCTCTCTTTTTTTTTAATGTTTGTTTATTTTTTGAAAGAGAGAGAGACAGAGTGTGAGCGGGGGAGGGGCAGAGAGAGAGAGGGAGACACAGAATCCGAAGCAGGCTCCAGGCTCCAAGCTGCCAGCACAGAGCCCGATGCGGGGCTCAAACTCACAAGCTGTGAGATCATGACCTGCGCTGAAGTCAGACGCTTAGCTGACTGAGCCACCCAGGCACCCCGGTTTATCTTGGCTCTATTTTTTGTTTATTGAATATCTCACTAATGGACATATTATATGCTTTATTACCTATCTCCCCTTCGCTTGAATGCAGGTTTCCTAAACGCAGGGACATTTTCTGTTCACTGCTGTATTCCACTGCCTAAAGGAGGAGGTGACACATAATTAGGACTCAGCACATGATTGCTGAAATGAATATATAAATATACAAAATATTAATGATTATCTCTGGGTGAAGGGCTTATGAGTGTTTTCTTTTTAACATATCTTTTTTTGTACTTTTCAAAATGTTTACAGTGCATACATATTACTTTAAGAATCAGAAACAGATGGAGAAGCTGGGTGGCTCAGTCAATTGAGCTCCTGACTTCAGCTCAGGTCACGCTCTCATGGCTCTTGAGTTTGAGCCCCACGTAGTGCTCTGTGTTGACAGCTCAGAGCCTGGAGCCTGTTTCAGATTCTGTTTCTCCCTCTCTCTCTGCCACTCCCCTGCCTGCACTCTGTCTCTCTCTCTCAAAAGAAATAAAAACATTTTTAAAAAAAGAATCAGAAATAGAAGAAAAATAGTTCTAAACCTTCACTTATTTTGGAGCGAAATCTACCTCTGTATCTTCTATCTTCTGAAACTGCCAAATCAAACACCCATCCAATTACATATAAAAGTCATTATAATATTTCAAATAGCTATTCTCCTCCTCCCTGGCATTCCCCTCTGCACCGTATTGCTACCACCACTCCATGGATGGCCCACATTCAAGTCTCTTCCCTATCATGGCTGCTTTCATTAATCTCTTCTCTTTCTATGGTGAGGCAAAAGTCACTAGTCAATGGTCTAGTCTTAGTAGTAAGCTAAAAAACATGCAATAACTTAGTTCTTTTCACTTCAAAGAGGAACACATTGTTTTGTGGCATTGTGCACTCACTTTTGCCTTATCTGTTGTGTACACACATGTACCTATATGCCTCTTACTGGTTCACCTCACCTACTTCATAACTTGGACTTATCTCTTTATAAAAGATAAATAATGGAGTCCAAAATTTAGGTGCACATAGGGAAGTATTTGCTTAATTCATGTATTTTTAAATGTTTCTAATTTTCAGTGTTCTCAAACCTTGGATTTAAAGTCACCGTTAGGGGCGCCTGGGTGGCTCAGTAGGTTAAGGGTCTGACTTTGGCTCAGGTCATGATCTCACAGTTTGTGGGTTTGAGCCCCACATTGGGGTCTGTGCTGACGGCTCAGAGCCTGGAGCCTGCTTCTGATTCTGTGTCTCCCTCTCTCTCTGCCCCCCCCCCCCACTCATGTTCTGTCTGTTTCTCTGTCTCAAAAATAAATAAACTTTGAAAAGATTTAAAATCACCTTTAAAAATATCCAGAAATAAATCAATTAAGGAATGAAATTCATTAGTTTCAATTTGTATTTGGTATCACTGCTATGAATAAATGGATTCATCTGAGACTGAAACAGAAATATAGTGGAATTTCAAGAAAGGGAAATGGTAGCACCATTTATTTTCTCTCTATACACGTATAAATGAAAATATTTTATATATTTTCAAAATAATGTGGCTTATGTGTACAATTTTCTTCTAAGTACTTAGCACCAGTTAAATAAGATCATCATAAGCTAAATCCTTCTTGAATTCAAAATATCTTTTCTAATGAGGGACATGTACTTTGGCTGGGAGATTGTATTTATATATATCAGTTTATAGATCTTTCTTTATATCAATTTATATCCACATATCCATTTGTCTTAACATCTTAGATGTCTCTGGTATCACATATTCACATATCCAAAATTGAGTCCATGA